AAACAAAAAAAAGTCAGTGTTCAGTATTTCCCCGGTAAGCGCTAAAGCAATCACTTCATCCGTTTGCTATTCACTATTATAATACCAAAAAAATTACTAATTAAATTACCAACCTACAATTTTATTAGTGTCAGCATACGACGCGCCATCTAATGCCGCACGACACTCACTTTTAATGTTTTGTGTTGCCGGCATGCCGCCCGCGTGGTTGTCTTAAGAAAAGTTGCGCGATGCGCCCGCCTCTGACGAAATTGTCGTTTGCGCAGCAAACCATAACGTTTTAATTCAGTCGTTAGATTTTGTCTTATGGGTTAGGATGTTCTGTTCTCAATATCATTGTCATTAAAGTTTATTGTAAATACATCAAGTTTATTGTAAATTGTAAGTTTAAGGCGGCAAATAAACTGCTTAAAGTAAGTAAAATAAGTTAACTTATTTATGTAAATAAAATAAAAAGTAAAGTAAAGTAGTAAAATTTAACAGTTTAAGAACCTTAAAATTATTCTTCGGGTCAGTTAAGTATCAATGTTTATTTACAACCATGTATGTTTTGTTGACATTGAAGACCTTTTATAAAAGTATGAAAAACCAAATTTCTAGTTTTAAAATCTATCCAGGAGGAAAGAGACATTTACCCGGATGAAAAGTGTATGACATTAATTTTCCACCCAGGTAAATTTTAACATCCTACGAATAACCAAAATGTTTGTTTAAATTTTATTAGATTTTTTTTAATTTGCATTTAAAAGATATGGTTCTGAATAAAACAGTACCTATACAAACCTCGGTGAAAAAATTTCATTCCTGTCTCGACGCTATACGCCTCGGTAAACCATGTTTTTCTCTTGTTAAGAATTAAACACTTCAACTCAGTGTATAATATTATATATTGTGAATGTATATAATATACTATTATTTACAACCATATACGTAAAACATCACTTATGACATTTTTGAGAGTCATAATTCGCTTCGTTTATTGTTCTCCATATGAAGTCGAAATTAGAGAACACTTTCTGGGTTTTTTCAAAGTTTTAAATACTACAGGAGAAGGGCTTTTCAATTTTTTAAAAGAAGAAATATTATCAAAATTTGAAATAAACCTTGATAACATGAGAGGTCAGGGTTACGACAATGGGGCAAATATGTCTGGTAAGCATGTGGGCCTTCAAGCTCAGATTCTAAAAATTAATCCCAGAGCAATGTTTTTGCCTTGTTCACCTCACACTTTTAATTTAAGTGTCAATGATGCAGCTAAAATTTCATGTGAAACTGCAGGTTTTTTTTCAATTATTCAGGAGTTGTTCAATTTTTTTTTCTTTTTTTTTTTTCAATTATTTACCCTACTGATGGGACATTTTAAAAAGGAATGTACCAAACTTAACTTTAAAATCAGTAAGTGAAACACGATGAGAAAGCAGAGTCAAAGCCATTCGCCCTCTTAGGTTTCAATTCCTCGAAATGTGGAAAAATTTACATGATTTGGTGGAAGATAATTCAAGAGATATGAACACGAAACATTCAGCAAGGTCACTATTAGACAAAACTAAAACGTTCAAATTCATTTTTTCTATTATAATTTGACATGATGTGTTAACAAAAATTAATATAGTAAGTAAAATGGTCCAGAATCCAAATACAACTTTAAAATGAATGCCACACAGAAATAAAAAAATCTTATTATTTATTTCACTGAAAAAAGGTTAGACAAACATTTCGAGATTTTCATGAATGGGGCTGCAGCAGAAGCAGAAAAAAGTGATGTAGAGCAAACATTTCCATTATTAAGACAAAGAAAGACGAAGCTTCAATTTTCGTATCAAGGTACAGATGAAACAGTATTCGATCCAAAACAAAAATTTAAGATCAGTTTTTATTTTCAAATTTTGGACACAATTCAATCCCTACAAAGACGCTTTGGGGGAATAGATAAGTTACACGATTTATTTGGATTTTTGGATAATTTTCAAAATCTAGATTCTGATGTGATTAAAAGATCATGTATGGATTTGGATTTAGCTTTACAAATTCAACATACAGGAAACGTATGCAAAGATATTGATGGTCTTGATTTGCATAATGAAATTCTGCCATACAAAGTTCTTAACCTGGAGAGGTAATTCGAGAAACTCTGGAAGATGAAACAGTCGGCATAAGAGTAAATGGAGTCTTAATTAACAACATCAGATATGCAGACAGGCAGACATATGATACAGTAATAATAGCCGATAGTTTACAAGACCTGGAAAGACTCATGAACAAAATAGTCATGTGTAGTAGGGAGTACGGACTCTCTCTTAATGTCAAAAAGACGAAGTTTATAAAAATTTGTAAAAACAACTATAATACTAACGAAATCTTGATAGTAGAGGGCCAGCAGATCGAAAGAGTAAAAAAGTACACTTACCTAGGAACACTTATAACAGAAAATAATGACTACACGGCAGAAATCAAAGTCAGAATCGAAAAAGCACGTTCTAATTTTATAAAAATGAAAAAGGTCCTATGTGGCAAAGATCTAACATTAGCTCTTAAAGTACGCCTAACAAAATGTTACGTATATAGTGTACTATATTATGGAGTGGAATCATGGACGTTAAATCTAGATACTATGAGACGAATTAACGCCTTTGAGATGTGGACCTATAGAAGAATTATGAGGGTTTCCTGGGTAGATAGAGTTACAAACAATGAAATACTGAGAAGAATAGGCAAAGAGAAGGAAATTGAACTTAAAATTAAAGAAAGAAAGCTACAGTATCTCGGACATGTGATGCGGGGCGATAAGTATGGCATCCTGCGACTCATAATGCAAGGAAAAATAGATGGCAGAAGAAGCATCGGAAGAAGACGAATTTCATGGCTGAAGAACCTGAGAGAATGGTTTGGATGCAGCTCAAAACAACTATTTAGAGCTACTGCCTCAAAAATTAAGATAGCTATGATGATTGCCAACCTCCGTAGCGGAGATGGCACCTGAAGAAGAAGAAGAAAGTTCTTAACCCAATCACAGACTCTGGCAAAATTTCGGATTCGCCCATAGATATTTTAAATTATATAACAAAGAAAAATTTACAATCCTTGTTTCCAAATCTATTTATAGCCTTGAGAATATTCCTGACCCTTCCAATTTCGGTGGCATCTGGCGAAAGGAGTTTTTCAAAGCTAAAGCTAATAAAAAATTATTTAAGAACGTCAATGTGCCAAGAAAGGCTATCAGATTTGGCAGTCATTTCAATTGAAAATAAAATTTGTGAAGCCATTGATCACAATGAAATAATTAATGAGCTTGCATCTGTGAAAGCACGACGTGTCATGTTGTAATTCCAATATTTGTTTTATTTTTCACTTGGTAAACAAAAGTTTTTTTGCATTGAGATTATCTCCTTTCCGTTATTGTTTCATGTTATATTCCAGAATGCCTTATTAATTTGCGAATTGAGTGTTTTCTTTCTTACTGTTAACTTACATAATAATATTGTTTTAAAATGACCTTTTTTCTTCATTTAATTTTGAAAATAAAACCTTTTTTCAAACATGATTCGTTTTATTTTTCTTTTTACATTCATATCATATTTTCAATCATATCACAAGAACATGTTATGATATAGATATCTTAAAAACATAATATGGGGGCGCACAAAAAATCCTGCACGCAGGCGCTCACTACCCTAGGAACGGGCCTGAGTGCCAGCTCTTGGTAAAACCTTGAAACTTCAAGATGCATTACGTTACCTTTTCTACCTGGTAATAAAAGACACTGCCCGTGACCAACCTACCTACCGAGATGTATGGGAAGCCTTACTTCAGTTGAGAGAGCACGTACTAGAGTCCGACGTGCAAAAGTTAGCCATGCCAAAGTTGGAGTGCCGCCAATTAGATTGGAGGGTTATACGAAACATGGTGGAGGAAATCTTTAAAGACACCGAAGTCCAGGTGTTAGTCTGTTGCAATCCGCATAGTTACTGGTGCGGAGAGAAAACCGTCCCTTGTCATTTCTATACAACTGGAAGTTGTAAAAGAGGGTCCAGTTGCCGATATCAGCATGTCGTTCCAGTTCCAGTCCCGACAAGGTTCCAGGAGGAACCATCTTTTAAGAGGGGGGCAATGTTACGATTTTAAATGTTATGGCATATAGAACTGTAAATATTTTATGACTAATTCTTTTTTTATTGATTCTCGTAATTTGTAGGTCAAAATCTACCTGAGCTTCGATACCAGTTATTTACAGAAATATCTAGACCCTTCTACAAGAAAGGTCGAGTATTCAGGTAACCATGAATGCAGTCGACGGCCGAGAATGACTCACCTAATGGATGGAAAGATCGATGCCTAGCCAGATTTCTCTAGATAACGGCATTTTGATGTATAAATAACGGTGATCCTCATTGAGGGGCGGTCAGTCATAAGAAGCTCGGGAACCGCGATATTTAAATGTAACGAAACATAAATTATTATTTGTAATATAAATTAGGATTAATAAAGACTTTAATAAATTCGTAATTAGTTATCGTGAGTTTTAATAAATTAGAATATAGACAATAAATTAGAATAAAGACAAATAAACTAGAACAATATAAATATATATCACAGTAGTATACGATCCACAAGGAGCATGCAGCTAAATTTGTAAGTCTGAATATTTCATTTATAGTACAACAAATATAACTTTAATTCAAATTAATGATTCGGAAGTACGCTTTCCGTTTGCAAAATTTGCTTTTTCTGTCCAGTGCATCTCAAAATAACTAACATAATTTATAAAAATAATCTATACGTCAGTATTAGCGATATAACTTTATTTTTTTCCAATTAACCTTATTCAATTATTAACGAACGGTTTTGTAAAAAAAAAGTAATAGCAATTTTCCATATGTTGAAAATTTGAATAAAGCTGATTACTCAAATATCTTCCAATACCTACAAACACACAACAAAATTGTCCTTGCTATTAGGATATCATATGATATTGGTAGAAATTAAATAATATGCTGAGGTACCTGGAGTAGCTGGTGTAGCTCGGGTAGTTAGTGTAGCTGGGGTAGCTGGGGCAGCTACGGTATCTGGGGTAGCTGGGGTACCTAGTGTAGCTGGGGTAGCTAGTGCAGCTGGGGTAGCTGGTGTAGCTGAGTTAGCTGATGTAGCTGGGGTAGCTGGTCTATCTGGTGTACTTAATGTAGATGAGGTAGCTAGTGTAGCTGGTGTAGTTGGGGTACCTTGACTAGTGTACAAGCTGCAACTAGTAAAAGAACTTGCAGAAACTCGTTCAGGCGTTTTTCGAAGCTGATTTACATCTGATTCGCTTTGTTCTTCCTCACTGGTAGAATCCAAGTCTAAAAGTATATTTTGTAATTATACGAATTATGAAAGCATTTGTCGTAAAAATACCTGTTTCTATGTCTGTAGAATTCATAGATTCACTGTAATTGTTCTTCTTATTCAGATTATCTGAATCTAAAAATATATTTTTAATAATCAAATCATGAAAGTTCCAACCGCTTAAAATTTGATTAATTAAGAATAAATATTGTCAAGAAGATAAACTTGCACAGTCGCCGGATAAATGACCTGTGATTACGTATAACCTAACACTGATGATAGTCTCCCTTTTACTTAAATATACTCGAACGCCTTAAGGCTGTAAACGGGATTTGAATGACTTGATACTAGATTTTCTAGTACCTAGAAAATAAAAAAACTATACTAGAAAAAAATATCATTTTACAACACATAAAATTATGACCTCATCAACTAAAACGGCTTCATGTTTTAATACATACCAGGGGTCTGCTCTAGTCGACAAGACGAAATCACAAGCTCACAACTGAGTCTCAATAGATCGCAGTGTGAAAACTGCTTCACCAGGTACCACATATAGACGAATGAAATAATACAAAAGCTGACATTGAAAGATCAAAAAAGCGTCGTCGCTATGAACAGTCGTCGTCCTATAAAAAATTTATTTTAAGGAATGTTGCGCAGGTTGAGTATGGACAAATCTGGATAACACTGTAAGCAAGCTATGTTAGTATTATTCTATTTTCGTGTAATAAAAAGTTGCTAACTTTAAAATGACGTAACAAAATTGAACTTGCTAATTGGCATATGTGATATTGGTAGAAAGTAAATAATACGCTGATGTACCTGAGGTAGTTGGTGTAGCAGGTGTAGCTAGGGTAGGTGGTGTAGCTGGGGCAGCTGGTCTAGCTGGAGTAGCGCTTGGAGCTGGGGTAGCTGGTATAGCTACGGTTGCAGGTGTATCTGGGGTTGCTGGAGTAACTGTGGTAACTGGTGTAGCTGGTGTAGCTGGGGTAGCTGGGGTAACTGGTGTAGCTAGGGTAGCTGGTGTGCCTGGTGTAGCTGGTCTAGTTGTGGTAGCTACGGTAGCTGGTGGATCTGGGACAGCTGGTGTAGCTGGGATATCTGGTGTAGCTGGGATATCTGGAGTAGCTGGGCTAGCTAGTGTTGCTGGTGTATCTGGAGTACCTTGACTCGTGTAGAAGCTGCAACTAGTAAAAGAACCTGCAGAAACTCGTTCCCGCGTTTTTGGAAGATGATTTACATCTGATTCGCTTTGTTTCTCCTCAATGGTAGAATCCGAGTCTAAAATTCTATTTTGTAATTATACGAAATATGAAAGCATTTTGACTAAAAATACCTGTTTCCGTGTCTGTAGAAATATTCATCGATTCACTGTAATTGTTCTTCTCATTCAGATCATCTGAATCTAAAAATATATTTTTAATACTTCAATCATGAAATTTTCAATCGCTTAACCTTTGATTGAATAAGTATACATATTGTCACGAAGCTTAACTTGCAGACAGTGGTCGGATAAATGACATGAGGTTACATATAATCTAACACTGATGATAGGTCTTTGTTTCACTTAAATATACTAAAACGCCTTAGGACTGTAAACGTGACTTGAATTAAATGACCTTATTCTAGAGTCTTAAATATCGAACGAAGTTCTGCAGAACACTTCGCTTGCTTGAAATTAATTGAAACTTTAACCGGAATTATAACCAGTTGAATAAAAAAACCAATTAAATTAAAATCAACATTCCAACATCAGAATCGAACCGCCAAAAGGCAATAAAATATGGCCTTATCAACTAAAGCGGCTTCATGTTTTAATACATACCAGGGGTCTGCTCTAGTCGACAAGACGAAATCGCAAGCTCAGAACTGATTCTCAATAGATCGCAGTGTGAAAACGGCTTCACCAGGTACCACATACAGACGAATGAAATAATAGAAAGGTAACCATGAAAGATCAAAAAAGCGTCGTCGCTATGAAAAGTCGGCCGCCACCCCTATAAAAAATTTATTTTCAAAGATTTTGCGCAGGTTGAGTATGGACAAATCTGAAGGACACTGTAAGCAAGCTATGTTAGTATTATTCTATTTTCGTGTTATAAAAAGTCGCTAACTTTTAAATGACGTAACAAAATTGTACTTGCTATTTGGCATATGTGATATTGGTATAAAGTAAATAATAAGCTGATGTACCTGAGGTAGCTGATGTAGCAGATGTAGCTGGGGTAGGTGGTGTAGCTGGAGTATCGCTTGTAGCTGGGGTAGCTGGTGTAGCTACGGTAGCAGGTGTATCTGGAGTCGCTGGAGTAACTGTGGTACCTGGTGTAGCTGGGGTAACAGGTGTAGCTAGGGTAGCTGGTGTAACTGATGTAGCTGGTCTAGCTGCTGTAGCTACGGTAGCTGGTGGATCTAAGACAGCTGGTGTAGCTGGGATATCTGATGTAGCTGGGCTAGCTAGTGTAGCTGGTGTATCTGGAGTACCTTGACTAGTGTACAAGCTACAACTAGTAAAAGAACCTGCAGAAACTCGTTCCTGCGTTTTTGGAAGATGATTTACATCTGATTCGCTTTGGTTCTCCTCACTGGTAGAGTCCGAGTCTAAAATTATATTTTGTAAATATACGAAATATGAAAGCATTTGTCCTAAAAATACCTGTTTCCATGTCTAGAGAAATAGAATTCATCGATTCACTGTAATTGTTCGTCTCATTTAGATCATCTGAATCTAAAAATATATTTTTAATAATTAAGTCATGAAATTTTCAATCGCTCAACTTTTGATTGATTCTGTGTCATTATTGTCACGAAGCTAGACTTGTACAGATAGTGGCTGCATAAAGAGGAATCAAAAAACTTTATTGGAACAATGAGCAGTAAAAAAATCACATCAACAAACGTATTAGTTTAACTGAGAACATGCTGTTTAATATTTAACTAACCTAATGTAAGAGATATTGACACGAGAAAATAGAAAATACTCAAGTAATACTTGTTCACATATCAAATCATTGATCTACGAAAAATACAGAGACAGGTTGTTTCTAACAAGATAATCGTCTACAAAGATACGTGATATTATTTAGGGAGGTTGATGAATAGTATGGGGTCGCGGAGATGTGCGCAGAAGGGCTAGCTGTGAGGATCTCTAGAGCCGCCGTCTATATATTACAGATCTTACTGGTGGTCGCAAATGCCTATTGTAGATTTGGTTACAATTGGCATGTTATTACAAATAAACCAGATTTGTTGTCATCTGTTGTTATATAAATATTTGTTCTTTTTTAATGTGATTAAACATTCCAAAACATTCTTAATGGTACCTTGTGGTAACATACTGGATAGTCTTGCGTCGGATGTCGGAGCCAGTTAATAATAATCTATTTTTTCCATGAAACCATCGGTAACTTTTTCCGTTAACTGAGTGATAGTATTGAAAGCAAAGATATTTAAAACCATGTTTTTAACTACATCCATACTTCAATGATTTATGGCCTCTACGCCCACCCTCTGCTATTTGAGTATCCTATTGCTATTTGGCCAATTGTAACCAACTAGACTATAAATGACGACAAACGTAAATGTATTGATACTTACGATCAGAATTTTTATGGTCATCCATTAGTAAAGAATTTGGTCACCTTAAAAAAAGAATCAATACTTGTTAGATATAATTCATTACGACGGCCTAATTAACAAACCACGTAACTCACATTATCCTGTTTTTACAGGAGCCACAAAAAACTAAATAACTTCAAAAAAGTGGGCCTTACTGACTTTATATTTTTAAAAACACCAATATAAATATAAGTCTAATATCAGTAGAATATTTTCCATGTATAAATATACCTAATATAATTTTTAATTGGAGTTAGGAGTTTTTACAGATTGAGTTACGGAGTTATGTGGTATTACTTTAACAGATACGCGGTTTGCAAACTTTCAATTGGGGAGTTAAGTGGTTTAAACCTAATATTTGATTAATTTAAACTAGTTTCATTTGACCCAATGTTACAAAATATTATCTACATAGGAGAAATAAAATATGGACAGTACAACTTGGATTGAAAACGTGTATTACATTTGTTTTAAAAAAATTACAAAGTTTTGTTACATAGGTAAATTATCATAAAATAAGTGATAGTCTTTTGCAATACTTGGTTTCAGTTCTTTTAAATATTGATATTTAGCCGCAGTAATTTTCAGTCTGTCATTGTAGAGTGGTTAAAAGTTAGCTTGAAGGAGTTCTCGAACTTTGTCTGGTAACTGGTCACAGATTTATTAGGATCTTGGGTTTATCTTTTGGATTTTCTGGATCCTTCGTCAACCTTTTTTTGCTATCATTTTGAAGTCATCGTTGAAGAACAGTTTGTAGTATATTTTTTCATTAGCATCATATTTCAAGCATCTGATGTCTGACTTTAGGGTCCACTTTTCCAATACCAGCACAAATTGATTTGAAAACCAATGGTTTCATAAAGTCTTTAAAAAAAGAGTGATCCGAATACATCACTTTGTATGGACTTATTTGACTTGCATTTTTTGCATGCGTCAATGTAGTCTGCCGCCATATTAATTTCTCTGTGTTTTAAATATCGTTTTATGGTAGCATGCATTGAGTCACACTCCATATGAGTGTGAACCTTTTTGAGATATTTACTCTGTATAGTTATTTCATATTTAACGGCCACATGTAAGAGGGCGTTACTCACAACTGCACTTCGGTTTTGATAATTACATCCATCACTAAATATTACAATCTTCGTTACATTGTTCCACAGGGGAAGTTGCGATTCAACAATTTTTTTTAAAATGCTGGCAAATTAATTTTCTAAAAGTTCCCCTTCTGTCTCGTTTCAAAGGTAGCAAAACCCTTCCTTTGTCTTCAGGTTAAACATACTAAGGTTGTGTACCGAAAGTTTACGCCTGTAGTAAAGGCCTGATGCGTTTGATTTCGGGCATAGTAACAGTGATTGAAGATCATTCATGCTCTTCATTAATTTTATCTTTTGACTTTTCTTCTCTAGCTTCATCTTCTTTGTTCTGTGGGTTTCAAAATTTTCTTTAGTAATGTGGTTTAGCTTATATGCCCTGCATATATCACATTGATCCTTTTTTGTCCTGTATAACGATAAACTCAGGACCTCGAAGGTCTTGTGAAATATGCAAGAAGAAAGTGGCTTATAATCTTTTGCCTTGCACCAGTCTTATGCATAAAACTGATACAGTTGAGCTTGTAATAACCAATAACCAATGCGGCTCCAAGTAAAGTTTTTTTGAGCTCGCTCGTCAATAGTGTGATTGCACGTTCGGTAAAGTCGATAAAAATTCTCTTAATGATTCCAATCTTTTGTTTAATCAGTTTTCTATTATGGAGTTTCAAAGGCTTTTGAGCCAAAGCAAAGTTTTGTTTGGATTTTGGAATTTGTTCATTGTGTACTTCAGCATATACCACGAATCTGTTTAAAACATCATCCTCTGAATCCAACTCTGAAGCATAGTTTGTCTTAACTACTGTCACCTTGTCATGACTGCTAGTATTTTTTCCGCATTAAAACTATAACTAGAATAATTAGGATCAACATATTTAAGGCTACTCAGGGTTTTATCACAGTTTATTTCTTTAAGGGCTGTCAGGGCTTCACTCTCTGAAACATCTAAACTTAAAGATAAATAAAAAAAGAGGTGGAGAAGTGGCTATACCGCTCTGACGAGATCTAAAGAGGTCGAAATACGTATAAGCGGCTTGCCGCCGCTCTGTATTGAAACAAAAATCCAGTACCGTCTGTATATTTTAAAGATAAATTTTCAAAACGCAAACTAGAGTCTCCTATAGCTGTCTGTATTGAAAATAAGGTACCGTCATCTTTTACAATGAAAAATCATCGCTTCCAACATGTGTGTTGTCTGAAGTTGAGTTCGATATTCCCTTTGCTGGAAAAGATTCTTCTTTAATTGATTTTGTGGTGCATTCTGCTACTATGTCGGTGTATAAACCGGAGTCATCTAAAGCGACTTTATTGTAGGTCTGAACTGGAAGTAAGGTACCATTATCATTCTCTATTAAACAATCTGATTTGGAATCACTGTTGTCAACTGCTATTTTAGCCTCGGGAGTTAAGTTGATTTGTTTCTTTGTTGGTATAATTGTATCGTTTTGAACCGATTAAGCTGCACATTTTGCTAAGTCTAATATTTTTCTTGTTTTCGAAAACATTTTTCTCCTGCAAACAAAACAAAACCCTGTTAGTTGTCAGCTTTATTTGAAAATCTGACACTTAACTGACATAACACTTAACTCCCTAAGTTTATTCCATTCTTATGTAAATCACCATTGTAAAAACACGTAACTGCGTTATCATTCATCGATAAAACTCGTAATTCCAAAAAAAGTTTGTTACATAACACGTAACTCCTAATACTAAAAATATTTATACTTTGTCGTAAAATCCTTATGGTATAATATAGTTCATAATTATTTAACATGAAACGTATTAAAATTTTAATATATCTTCATATTTCAATAGTAAATTATTTATTAAACGAAGAGTAAGTAACAAAACCCGTAACTCCACTGAATAGGAAACTAACCAAACATTTTGATTTGTAAGAAAACCAAGTAACTATATTGCCCTTGAAATTTATCGATTTGCTAATATATTTGAGCTTAAACAGGCGAGAATAAGCTAAGGTTAGAACATTAGAAACTAACCATCAAATTTAAGAATCATTAGATCAACTGGAAACATATATTTACACAGGCAGAATGAATCAGCCAAGCACCACACAACTCACGTGCTACACTATGGAAACAGGCTGCCACAGCCAGGAGTTACGAAGTTTGCGTTAACAAATTTCCCACCAAAAAAGATACGTATTTTGTTTTTTCCATTTTTCTAATTAGTTATTTTTTTTTTGGAGTTTACTGCTTAGGCAGAAATGTTAAGCTACCGTAGATCATTATAATAATATTAAAATCCAAAATTCGATTTTTTTGGAGTTACGTGGTTTGTTAATTAGGCCGTCGATTAATTAAAAAAATATTACTAAGCTTGTCAACTCAATCATTCAAGAATTTTTAGTACAATCAAATCGTTATGATGATATACGCAAAATGGATAATATAGATAAGTCTATTTAGGGTATAAGCTTTATGACAAATACGCTCGTCTTTCTTGGGTCAACTTTCAATGTCATCACAGCATGTATTTCTATGAGCATTTCTACCATATTATATATTCTGTTTCTATTTCAGCGTCTTTTTTTAGGGTTTTAAGTTTATAAATAAAATATTTCAATCAAATCAATTGAATTAATTTGTAAATTAAATTAAAAACCATCGCTCACTGCGTAGACGATAAGAAAGCTATACTTCCTTTCCTCGGTCACTCCCGAAGTGCCGTTTTTGTTCTTGTAAAACGTGTACATATACAATTTTTAGACAATCTGATCTAGTATACTTTTTGCATTCCTGCTCCATTAAATGCTACTAGTGATAGTGAGTATTTACTACCAGTAGATCGTTAATACAAAATTCTAGAATTTTCTCCATTTTATTTTATGCCATATGTTACTGTATTGTTTGGATATTCTCCAAACTGGATAAAACTGCTCAAAAAAAAACATACAGATGTAAAATTGAAGACATGCAGTAGATTAAATCATACAGTCCATTTGCTGCTCCAGTAACTCTCGCATATAAAAAAGGAGTGGACAGAAAAACAAGACTTTGCATAGATTTTAGTAACTTTAATAAAATTGTTACCCCACTTCTTCTTATGGTACCCTATCAAATTAGTGGATGTTGGCGACAATTCTGGCATACTCCTCTCGATCTTGTGTGGCTCTAAAGAGTGCATGGGCATCGAGGTTAGTCCAATTCCTTATGTTTTTAAGCCATGAGTATTTCTTTCTTCTGATGCCCCGTTTTCCTTAAATCTTGCCTTCCATAATATTCTTTAAGAACTTGTACTTGAAATTTCGAAATATATGACCCAAATAAGAAGTTTTTCTTCTTTTTATTATTGGCAGCAATTCTCGTTCTCTGCCCATTCGATTTAATACTTCGACATTTGTTGTGTGGTCTGTCCAGATAATTTTACACATCGGCCTTTATGATCCAGGTTTCTACATCATATAGCAGTAAGGAGTAAATGTAACATTATACAAAGCGATATCGAAGCGTTAAGTTAAGGCTGCTGTTGCTTAGCAAGATTCTCATATTAGTAAATGCTGTTCTGGCTTGCTCAATCCTGCTACGTATCTCTATATCTGGAGCTAAATGTTTAGTTATCCAACTGCCGAGATATTTGAACTCGAGGACCTTTTTAATGTTCTTATTGTTAACTCTTATATTTAATTGCATATTTCGTGTTCTACTAACCACCATTACCTTCGTCTTGTCTATATTAATATTCAAACCCAGTCTGTGTTACCCCAGTCACAACTTTTTCGAACTTAATCGTAGAAACTATAAATTGTAAATACTTTTTCACTTTAGACATTAATTCAGCATTCTGGTCAATATCTGTGAGAATATAAGATAAGGAAAAAGCGTCATTTGAAACACACGAGGGCCATTTCCAATGGACTTGCTTTTTATTTGGTTTGAACATGGCTCCG